GCATACAAATGCATGGATGCTGATCCTGAAAAAAGACCAACAGCTGATGAAATTTTAAAAATTATTACTTTTTGGAAAGATGCAACCGATATTTTTAAATATAATTATTCTAGTTATTCTGAAGAACAGCTTGATGAATTAGAAGAAATAAAAAAATTATTTGAGGAAGCAGATAAAAAACCCTTTAATCCTTCAACAATTACAGCAACTGTTCATCCAAATGCTGTTTATACAAGTAGATTATTGAATTTTACAAATCTTCCTCAACCTGTAAACCCCAATAAAGTTACAATTATTAGTAATAATATGGTAATTATCTAATTTATTGTTAAATATTTAATCTTAATTATTTAATATTAATGATATTTAAATTATATAGAATCTAAACAAATTGAATTAACTATGCCAGATTCTAAACAAATTGAATTAACTATACCAGATAATTTATGAATAAATTCTATTTATCTGACTATTGAAATTTTCACATTGGTTTTTTTATTATTATCAAAAAAAAATTTTTTTAATGATTATATGCTATCTATTTTAAATTAAAGCAAACCCTCCTTATGATTGAAGTGACCTATTGTAGTGGTGTATTCATTGATTATCTGGGTATTTGAGTACTTGGTCAATCAATAATAATAAAGCTCAACACCTGGATAATCAGTCAGTCAATAAAATTCAAAATCCAGTGAAAATTTTCAACACACAATTAACTGGATAATTGGTGAATAATTGGTAAATATCATTTGATGGATACAACCACTAACCTATAACCATGTCTCTTATCATCATTTAGTATTATTTATTTATTATTTTATTAGTATTTTTATATTCAACATTATAGATGATAAAAATGTTAAAACAGTATATATAAAACACTATAAATAATAATAATAAAAATGATCATTGTGAGATAAAAATCTGTGCCTCAATATTTTATTTATAATAATAATATGCCAACAATGTTAATACAATTTATTTACACTAAAACATATCAACAATTTCCATGAATGCATATTTATGGTTTACTCTCAAAACTATTTTTTGCTATCATCAAACAATTACTTACAATAAGAAATACTAAATAATATTTTTAGACATCCTAATCATGTTTCTTGATGGGTGTCCTTCTAGCTGTTTTCCTCTTTACTACCAAGTCAGGCACATATCTAAAAACTACTAAATAAAATTCATTAACTAAAAGAAATAAAAAATAATAAAAAAATTAAACAAATATAAAATAAGAGAAAATTTATTATGCTTGGGATTAGTATGAATTCATTGTTAGAGATTGATTTATTATCATTACAAAAATATAATTCAAAGACTATGACAAGGACAAGGACAAGGACAAGGTTAAGGACAGCATTATTTATTAAATTATTATGATGATAAAGATAATGAAGATGATGCATGAAGTTGAGAAATTACAACATTATTTATACATGTTAAAGATTCTATCATCAAATTCTCTGATTTCTTTGAAATCCTAATTTACTTTGTAGAATTATTTTCAAGTTATTTTTAAAGTGATCAATCATTTAAATTAAGGTTTCTGGTCCAAACTGTTTTCTCAAAGCCCAAACTAGTTTGGGCAATTTGGGCTTCTCAGCATTTTTTACAAACATGAACATTAAAAAACTATACCAATCAACTTATTTTAACTTAAACAACTTTAAAGTAATTTCGCTCAATTTTGGCTAATAACAAAAAATAGTTTGGGCTTATAAAAAAGTAATTTTTGCCCAAAGTGTTTCAGCAATTTCGGCTACTAATAAAGAGAGTTTCAGCTGGAAATCTTAATTTAAATTCCTAAACTTTAATTCTCAATTAAATTTAAACGAAGAATGCTAGAATTAAGGCTCCGAACAGAACAGAACAGATCGGATTTGGTGGAAATCTGATCTGTTCTGAAATCTGTTTAAGCTGATCCAATCCGATCTGGTTTTTTAAAATATTGGATCCGATTCGATCCGATCTGGTTCTTTAAAATATTGGATCTGATCTGATCTGATTTAAGGTTGTGGGCGAACCTCCTTAGTAATTGTTGAAACCACGGCAAAACTATATTAAATCTTATCAAAAATCCTGTTGAAACTATGCCGAAATTGCGAAACCTCAAAATCCGAAACTCTGTCGAAACTCTAATAAACAATTAATGTGTAACCTGCCGAAACCCTGCTGATTGATTTCTGGAGTTTCTACAAGCAACCTTACTTATAATACAAAAAAATGAAGTAAATATTTCAAGTCTTTATTGTTTTTATTTAAATTATAAAATTTCTATTAATTATAAACAAATGCCACACTTTTTGAAAGTATTATAAAATATCATCGCATTTATTATTATTTTCTTCTTCAATTGTAGAAAAAAGAATCATCGTCATTTAAATACACTGTTCCTTTTTTTAAAAAAGATTTTTTATTACCTTTATGGGTGGTGGTGAAAAAAAACAATCAGTTATATGTATATACGCTATTAAATTTTGAGTATATACATTATTTAAAAAATAATAAAACTTTGTCATTCAAAAGGAAAATTATACACAATAATCCAATCGATTAATTTACAATTTCATATTATTTAAAAAATTTTCTCTCCAAAGAAATTTGATTTCGACCATTTACCGCATAGTATACAGTTGTGTTTATTACTTAGTTGTTCGGGTATTATTGTAGAAGTTAATATTACTGGTGTTGGCGGTGTTGACACAATTGATTGAGTCATATGACAAACATAAATAATTGAGTCATACGCAATTAAAAATAGAGATTTTGGGAATTGAGTCAAAGCCAATTTAATTTGACAACATGTATAATACAGGTGATATTGGTTTGGATGACGATGTTGATGATGTCGAAGGATGTAGTGCTCTAAATTTTAACAAATGATCGTTAAAATGCACCCATCGTGGCATTCGTGCTTTTTTCGAACAAATTAGCCATCTAGATTGCATATATTAATTCCCAAACATGATTTTTGAGTACATGATACTTATTTAGAGATGAAAATTTCAAAATTTCATGCATTGTTATTATTATATAATAATCTATATATGTCGTTCGAAATCCAATTGTGTCACATACATAATGATTTCCAAATTGGCAGGATCATTCAATTTCCTGATACTCAACATTTTTCGCTATTTTGAGAATCAAGACCTTTCAAAAAAAAAAAAAAAAAGTCATTCTAATGAACAAATGTGAATGTTAATTCTCTCACACACAAATTGTTTTGTCTCCATTGGCGCCTTTGATGATGTACTAATACGAAAAGTTCATTGCGAACGATACAATGTAAAAGCTGGAAAAATCTTGTTGTAGATATAGCTTACTTGAATGACTTATCTGCCTTACGCGATATACTATATTAGTATATAATATAATACTATTGTATAACTTACTAAATGGTTTATTATCATTACAAATTGCTTGTACCGAATGATCAATGTAACAAATAGTTATTACTATTTCTATCAATCAACATCAATAATCAATGCTTGATAAAATATCTAGATAAATTGGCGTGTAGGATTAACAATTGCAGAACTCTTACATTGTACTGGTTTAATATGCGCAGTTAGATAATAATTTGGCGTATTACACACATGTTTATTTATTATATATAAATAAGAATAAAAACCGGAAAATTTTTTACTGTTTTTTTTTCTATATTAATATATAGATAAAAAATTTCCCTCATTGTTACACGATATGCTACTTAATTTGGGAACCGTGAGCAAAATTCCTAAGCGCTCTTAAGCTGTGGACGAAACTCATAATGTTGGAAAGAAGAGTAGTAATAATAATCAGTGTATGAAATTGAGTGCAACTCACTGATAATGACTTCAATCGAGTCAAAACCTTATTTATTAGTTTATATAGTTAGAAATTTATTTAATAATATATAATATTATTAAATTTCGCCACTAGTTTAGGAGTCTAAATTCCAAAATAATTTCGGCCACCATCATCAGTTTATTGTACAGTTCAATTCCTGAAAATCAGATAAACTTTCTAAATTAAGTAAATCAAGACTCCAAGTTTCAAAATACTCCAAATTAGGAACTATTTGTATGAGCTCAGTCGGTCCTCCAAACAAACATAGTAAATTAGCCCAAACTTTAAATTAGTATGTCTCAGGCTCCGTGCGACCGAATTAAAAAATCTAATCGTCAGTTGATAACTTTACTAAAGATAAACAAAATGACGGACGATTATATTTTTTCAAAATGTTTTCTCTATGTTTCCGCCACATATGATGATGGAATTCAAGCTGCCGGACTGATGTTTAAATTCAGGTTCCCAAATTTTGTTCAATGTAAAGAGAAGTTTAATTTGATTTGAACGCAATAACAGATAAAAATATATTGTTATTTATTATATGGTAGACGGACGGATGAACATTCTTCCATTCGCGCCCATTGATTAATATTAATATTAATATTAAAAAAAATGAGTGTAATTAAATATACCAATTTCAGTAAAAGATATTTTATTTGAAATTTACAAAAAAGGATTTCGAATTTAATCGCGATGTGTATCGATAGGCGCAAGTTCAAGATATCAGGTATTAACCAGTTGGTAGTTGGAATTCTGTCACTTATTCTTTGTTTGATAATTGTTTGTAATTAATCGTACATACATTATATCATTAACTGAAGCAATGATATCAGATTAGATTTTGGATATATAAACCACTGCAATTTTTCTCTTTGTTTTTATTTAGTCAATTGCTCAAAATGTATCATGAAGATCCATTGAAACGTTTTGTTTTGAATCCTATTAGTGGCGAAGGTAATAATAAGTCATTGTTGTTGAATGGAGTGATTTGATAATCTTATGACATATTTCCAATTATTAGATAACGTTAAAACACGTCTGCCTATCGAGGCGCTAATGAACGTGTGCAAATACAAGAAACAAAGGGATCTGTTTCTCCAAGCTTTTGCCAATATTCAACGAAGAAATTATAATGACGTTAGATCTTATTTCAAAGTTGCTGGAATTCATGGTCTTCCATATGATTCTTACAATGATGATGGGGTTTCTAAGATTCAAGGTGGCTATTGTCGTCATAGTGATATTCTCTTTCCTACTTGGCATCGTCTATATGTCATGTTGCTTGAAAGGCTAATATATGATGAAGCTAAGGAGATCGTAAACAGGTCAGAATTGATTTTTTTTTCATTTTTCTCAATTATTTGTGTTTTTGTATTCACTTTATTTTACTTTCAGTTATCATGATGGCGATATAAAAGATGAGTACAAAGAGGCAGTTGAGAATGTTCGGTTTCCATACTGGGATTGGGCCAGTTCATCTGTTCTCTGTCAAGGAATACCTTCGATTTTGTTTGATAAATTTGTTTGTGTTATGGTCCCAAATGAATCAGGTGACGAAGAAATAGAAACCAAAATTCGGAATCCTCTTCGTGCGTACACTTTGCCAGTAAATCTAGGAATTGCAGAACTTGTTGGTGACACTTCTAATCCAACGCAAAGACCATATATTCCAGATGGGGATATTGAACCTTATACACCAGCCGGATATTCAACTGTCAGACATCCAAACCAAAATTACACTTCCGATTCAAATTTCACTAGCCTTGAAATCGTCACTTCGTGTAGCTCTACATTTCGTCCAAGTATTTACGACATTCTTTCGATTGAGGACTGGTATAGTTTCAGTAACACTGGTATGACAACCAAAATCGAACCACCCTGTGATCCGGATGGCAAACCTAAATATTCGTGTGAGTCATCAATTGAAGGCGTTCATAATGTTGCTCATGATAAAATTGGTGGAATAGGCGGTCATATGTCATATCCTGATATTGCGAGTTATGACCCCATATTTTTCCTTCATCATGCAAATGTGGATCGCCTTTTTGCTATTTGGCAAGCTTGTCATCCTGGCGATGATAGTTGGATTAAGGAATGGTCCGATGATAAAAAGACACTTAACCAAGATACTAAACTTGAGCCATTTCTTAAAAATGATAATGATTATTGGACCTCGGCGGAAGTTAGGTAGGCTTTTATATCAAGTTTATTACTTACAAATCAACTTGATGTTATTCATAATTTTTGTTTAATAATAGACATATTGAAAAACTCGGATATAATTATCCTGAACTAAAGGAACCAATTACAGACCCAAAAGGTTTTTTAGAAGCCATGCAAAAGGTTTATCACCACGTTGTTAATTCGTAAGTGTTGTTTTTCTATACTTGCTTCCCTTATTTTAAATCAATTATTCATCTTTCAACTCTCAAACAGGAATAGAAAATGGAAACTTAACATAAAAGTCAAGAAAAATGAAGTTGGCGCGCCATTTCAAATTCGAGCATTCATTGATTTGCCAACCAACAACCCATCAACTTCTATCACCAGTCCCAATTTCGCTGGTTTCATGTCAATATTTTCTCGTGGAAAAACAAGTTGTGCTAGTTGCAACGATAATCGAAAAGTATTAGTGAAAGACGACATTGACCTTACTGTATGCATGCAAAGGCTCCATCTTGTTAACGAGAGAAACGTTATGGAATGGGATTCATACTCTGATGAAAACCCCCCTTTGACTGAACGAGTCACTCTTGTGACTGTGTTGAAGGATGGAAGTGAGATAAATCTTAAAAAAGTTGGTATAATGTCTGCGGATATCTGGGAAATTGACGGTAATATTCCAAAATATTTAGGCAGCATTTATCCCCCCAGTAAAAAAGCTTAGTTGGAAGTTTTTAATATGGGTTGTGCCCATAGCTTTCTTTTACCCACAATATGTATTTCCAGAAAAATTTTTGTTCAATAAAGAAACCATCAATTCTATGTGTAACTTTCATATTAAATTCTGTATGCTTATTATTTATATATTATTTGATTATTTATGTTAACTATTTACTATTTTATATCTATTTATAAATTTGCTCAAAATGGTATTTGTTTTATTTAAAATACGGATTATATTGATGTATATAATTTAATTTAGTGTATAAAGTACACGTATTAAATTGTGTATTAACTAGGGGTAATATTATTTTGATGTTTGTAGTTTGCAAATAAATTATTTATTAAATCCAGTAGAAACTTCTAGTTTTAATATCATTCCCGATGATGGATTGAATTATGAAAAAATCAATTAAAAGCGAATAGTTTCAAACAAAAATGGTTATTATGGCTATCCATATATGTTCATAAATGAGTATTTTGCGCAATATGCATTCAACATAAAAGAAAAGAAAGAATACTAATATTAAAAAAATTTCTATTCAATAAATTGAAAATGTAAGTATAAAATCAGCAATAAAAGACTATAGATCACAAAGAAGAAGCAGAAAAATTAGAACTTTCCAAACTTGCAACGGAAATTTGGATGATAAAATTGAATAAATCAAGGTGATATACATAGTATAGGTATAATAACGGCAAAATTATATTCCTTTGAAAACATTACTATCTCTGATTCAACATGCAAAATAATTGAATACACTGAATATTTATTTCATTTTCATATAGTAATGAAACGTTAACTACTTTGCCGGTCAGTTGAAGGATCAGAAAACATTATATATATAAAAAATCAAGTGAAATGATCGACGGTTAATACAATTGAGCAATAATCTTTTAATAATAGTAATATATTAAGTTTGTTATATAATGAAGATTTGATCAATACGAATCAGCATCAATATAAACTCTAGCAAGTATTCCTTAAAAAACCACCTTGCACATTCACATTTATATTGAGGTCTAAGTCATGCTTAATATTGTATTATTAGCAACTTGTATTAACCCATTTCTTATTACAAATTTATAGTACAAATAGAAACCCTAATTAGGCAGATCGTCAATTAAGATTAATATATATCACGTGTCATCAAAGTGAGTCATTTATGATTATCAAATTGTGAAGAAAAATAATAATAATATGGCTACTACAGAAGAACCCAAGAAGGTATTTCATTTTAAATCTGCATTCAATTGAATTTAATTAACTCCTAATGTTTATATATGTACTTTTTTCTAAAAGACTTTTAAACGTGACACCTTGGCTTTAATAGAACAAAAAATTCAAGAAAAATGGGAAAAAGAAAAAATTTTTGAGGTTAATGCACCAACAATTGAAGAATTTTCTCTCGAACAGGACGATGATATCTTACATGAAAAATACCCAAAATATATGGGCACTTTTCCTTATCCTTATATGAATGGAAGATTACATTTGGGGCATTTTTTTACAATTACAAAGGTTGAATTTGCAATTGGGTATGAACGAATGAAAGGAAAACGGGCATTGTTCCCGTTAGGCTTTCATTGTACTGGTATGCCAATTAAGGTAATTAACCACTATGTGTTATTATATATATGCAGATCAAAGTTTTTATTTAATATATATGTATAAATAGGCATGTGCAGATAAACTTGCTCGTGAATTAGAATTATATGGTCCTGATTTTAAAATACCTGACAATGACACAATAATTGATGATATTAAAAAAGGAGTTGATGATTTAACATTGAATGATAACAATTCAAAAAAATTAGATTCGTCTGGAGCTGGCACAACAAAAGTGATGCAAAAAAAAGGAAAGGTTGCCGCAAAATCAACTGGTGAAAAGTTGCAATTTCAAATTATGAGGAGTTTGGGCTTACCAAATGAAGAAATAGCTAAATTTGCTGATGCAAATTATTGGCTTTATTATTTTCCTCCTTTGTCAATTGTTTGTATTGTTTAGTTTTTATTTTTATTTTTAATTTTGAAATTAAAAATTTATGATGTTTTTTATTAAATTGTAGAAAGATTGTAAAGCTATGGGAGCAAAAATTGATTGGCGTCGATCTTTCATTACAACTGATATAAATCCTTATTATGATTCGTTTGTACATTGGCAAATGAGAAAGTTGAAGGTTCTTAATAAAATAAAATTCGGTGAGCGCTACACAATTTATTCACCAAAAGATGGACAGCCTTGTATGGATCATGATCGTTATTCTGGAGAAGGTCTAGTTCCTCAAGAATATACTGGTATTAAACTCAAGGTGATAGAATGGAGCGAGAAGGCTAATAAAATTTTGGGTGCAAATAAAGAGCTTGAAGGAAAAAACATTTTTTTTATTGCTGCAACATTGAGGCCAGAAACCATGTAATTATTTTAATTTTCAAAAATTATTGTTTCAAAAATTTAATTGCAATATATATAATATATGAATATATATATATTTGTATATAGGTATGGACAAACTAATTGTTATGTTGGCGTAGATATAAATTATGGTCTTTTCAAAATAAACGAGTCTGATATTTTTATTTGCACTTATCGTGCAGCACGAAACATGGCATTTCAAGGATATTCTGTAAAACGTGGTGTTGTAGATCAATTAGTAGAATTTAAAGGTTCAATTTTCCTTGGGACAAAAGTGCATGCACCATTAAGTAAATATGAGCATGTCTATGTCTTACCTATGGAGAATGTATTGGCTACAAAAGGAACAGGGGTTGTAACATCGGTACCTTCAGACTCGCCGGATGACTATATCACACTTCAGGATTTAAAGAAAAAGGCAGCATATTATAATATTGATCCTTCATGGGTGGCAGATTTTGAACCAATACCAATTATTAATACTCCAACATATGGTGAGTTGGCTGCACCTAAAGTTTGCAAATTGAAAAAAATCAATTCACAAAAGGATCGGGTAGCTTTAGCAGACGCTAAAGAATTGGTCTACAAAGAAGGCTTTTATGATGGAACTATGCTCGTAGGTGAATATGCTGGGAAGACTGTTCGAGAGGCAAAAACTTTAATCAAAGATTTATTGGTTTCAAAAGGGCTTGCTTTTATTTATAATGAACCTGAAGGTCTTATTATGTCAAGGTCTGGTGATGAATGTGTAGTAGCACTTTGTGATCAATGGTATTTAGATTATGGCGAGACAGAATGGAGAAAGCAAGCTGAAGAATGTTTGAAAAAATTAAATACTTTTGGTCTTGAGACTAGGCATCAGTTTGAAAAAACTTTAGCTTGGTTAAATCAATGGGCTTGTGCAAGATCATATGGACTTGGTTCTAAAATTCCATGGGATTCTCAGTATTTAGTTGAAAGTTTGTCTGATTCAACAATTTATATGGCCTATTATACCGTATCTCATTTGCTTCATGGTGGTACTTTAGATGGCTCAAAAGCTGGTCTACTTGGGATAGAGGCATCAGAAATGACGGATGAAGTTTGGGATTATATATTTGGTGATACACAATACCCAACTTCAACTACTATTTCGAAAGAAAAACTTGACATTATGAGAAGAGAATTCCGATACTTTTACCCACTGGATCTTCGGGTTTCTGGTAAAGATCTAATACCAAATCATTTAACATTTTTCATATATAATCATGTAGCCATATTTCCTGAAAAACATTGGCCTTGTGGTATAAGGTCAAATGGACATTTGCAATTAAATGGAGAGAAAATGGGTAAAAGCACAGGAAATTTCTTAACTGGTCATGAGTCAATAGAAAGATATGGTGCAGATGCATCAAGAATTAGTTTGGCAGATGCAGGTGATTCAGTTGAGGATGCAAATTTTGAGGAAGCTACTGCAAATGCTGCAATATTAAGATTATTCACATTAAAAGAATGGTGTGAGGTTTGTTAAATGTGTGATTTGTTTGTTTGTTTATGCACAAACAAATGCACCATTTTTTTTTTCTAAAAAAAAAAAGTTAACAATAATAAGAATATTATTATTTATTAAAGGAGCAAATCAAAAATAAAGATAATCTTCGTACTGGACCAACAGATAGTTTTCATGATAGGGTTTTCAAAAATGAAATGAACAAGTTAATTCAACAAACTAGGAATGCTTACGAAGAGTATGTGGAAATAATGATTTGTTTTATATTATACTTAAAATTTTATTTAATTTTATATATTTTTCCCTTGTTTATAATGAAAAGTTCATTTTACCGTGATGCATTAAAATATGGTTTTTATGAATTACAAACATCTCGTGATTGGTATCGTGAAGCAACATCACAAGAAGGTGAAGGAATGCATCGAGATTTAATATTAAGATGGATAGAGTTACAAGCATTATTATTATCACCAATTGCTCCTCATTGGTCTGAATATATATGGGGCGAAGTTTTACAAAAAGTTGGTATTATTATTTTTAATAAAAATTACTATACCATTTAATTAAAATAATTTTCAACTATTTTAGGATGGATTTATAGTAAATGCATCATTCCCTTCACCATCAGAACCTGTTGATGAAAGTTTAATTGAAGCAATTGAATATATTAGAAAATTAATAAAAAACATTCGTGATTTGGAAGGTGCCTCACAAAAAAAAAAGAAAAAGGGTAGTAAAGCAGATAATTTTGATCCCAATAAACCTAAATCTCTTAAATTGTTTGTTGCAACAAAATTTCCAGAGTGGCAAGATTTGGTGGTTGAAGCTATAAAACAAAATTATGATGAGGTTTGTGTCTAAAAAAAAAAAATAATCATACCCCAAAAGATTAACAGTAATATTATCGATTTATTTATTATATAAAAATTAGGAATCCAATTCATTTGATGATGGTAAAATTCGAGCAAATTTAGGAGAGAAGGGAATTCTAAAAAACAAAAAAACCATGCCATTTGTACAAGATTTTAAAAAGAGAGTTGAAAAATTTGGCAAAGAAGCATTTAATAGGGCATTATTATTTAATGAATATGACACGCTTGTTATAGCAAAAGGATTTATTCAACGTAGTTTAGGATATGTTCAATCAGAAATTGTGAATGCCGAGGAAGTTTCAGAAGAAGAAAAAAGATTAACGGAGTTTGCAGTACCTGGAGAGCCAGGAATCTTCTTTAAGAATATATAAAAAAAAAACATTAAATACTATTTATTCGTTTTTTTTTAAAACTTACAAAAGTAATAAATTATTTTTGTTGGTTTTGTAAAGTATACTATACGTAATAATTAAATTGTATTAATTCGTGAGAATGAGTGAATTTTTAATTAGTGATCTGCGGGGTGCATTTACATTTTATAGTAAAAATCATCCAGTTCGCCTTACTTTTCTACCGTAACATCATGTTTCCATTTGCATTTTTGTAAAAAATGACAAAACAAAATTATATTTATTGGTTCGTATGTTTGTTTATAACATAATGTCCAATTCTTTCTCAGCTGATTCTTTTTTATGTTCTCTACTAAAACGCGTTATCCAATTTTCTATAGTTTTTATTTATTTTTGGTAACTCATCCGGATCCAACACGCCTGCTTCTACTCTTTGTTTTAGATCTGCAAGCATCGTTTCAGCAGTGAATCTATTCTTCTTATCTACATTTCCTGACAAAAAATAGGCTCTTAGAAGTTGTTTTACCTGTTCAGACATGCGTTTACTTCCACCACGCTTTCCAAAATTTTGGTTTTCACGAAGAGCCCAACCCAGTTCAAAGTAATTCCTTCTAGAGAATTTAAAATTTGTTAATCTAATATTTATTATTATATTAAATTTTTTCCTATTTATAGTTCACTTAAGAAACAATGTCTGTTATAAACAATAATAATTTATATATGGATGACATATAAATTGGACTTAAATTCTCAGTCTGTTACTGAACAAAACCCATTACAGAAAGGTCCATTATTATTATTATAAAGTACCTGTATTCATTCTTTTTGACTGCTTCATCCTCATTCCCAGGTATCATATACAGTGTTTTTTTTGTTTTGGACATTTCAATTGATATGGATGGTGCATTGTTCAACACTGTACCTTGAGAACGAATTTCTACACAAATTTTCATAGGGGAAATAAGCTCAGATAAAAAAATGTTTATTTAGATTTATATAATATACCTGTGATTTTGTTTAGAGTTTCTTCAATTTGCTTTCATAGTTTTTCTACTAATTCATTTTTACTTTCCTTCTCTTCATACTCGATTTTTCTTTTTTTTCAATTCAGCTTTTACAACATCTTTGGACAATCTCTTTGGATCTTTCTCTGAAAAAAATGAGTTGTGGAAAAGAAAAAATTATAAAGATAAATAAGATAATAATAAACAATAAATTTGAACAAAAAAAATTTATTAATAGAATTGGTATGAGTAGCAATAATAAAATAAATATATAATATAATAATAGTGGTGGTGATTATAAATAAAATAATTTAATTCATTTCATTAATAATTTGTCTCTTAAATTAAAATTAAACTTTATCCTACCTTTACTAGACAATGGAATAGTCCATTCTGAGCTTGGTGTTGTTTGATGGATTTGGTTTTATTAATTCTTGGTCTTTTAGAGATTTCTTAATATCAAATGGTGAAAAGGTATTCCATGTACCAAAATTGGGTAAAGAATGTGCACAAATATAGCCAGATGAGTCACCATCTGTAGGCCAAGTTGGTGGGAATCAACAGTAGTCTTTGCTTCATCAGGTTTCAAAAAAATCCATGATCTTATTTTTATATTATACCATTTACTCCATTGACTAATTATCATCATCAACTCTTTATTATGATAATGTGCACCATTATCAGACAACACTTCAATCCATAAAGGTTTTTTTTCCATTGTAGAAAATAAACCATCAAAGGATGATGCTGTGAACCAAGCATCTTGTGTTGGGTCAGATGACCAATGATCTAAAACCTCAAGATTCAATGAAGTAGAATCATCAGATTTTCTTGTATATACTAGTAAGGTATGCAAAGTATATCCTTTTTTTCCAAAAAAATCAGATTTCACCTCTCGTGCTGATTGAGGCAAAATCTTCATTTTGTAGTCAACTATGATCACAGCACCATCCTTATCTAGTCAAAGTAATGCAACTTTAGATTGTGCATTGAGATATGTTTTCCTGGCTTGGTGAGCCCAGAAATATTGTAATTTTTCCCAGAGTTCAATTATTTGGCTTTTTTCATTTGGAGTAAATTGTAGAATCTTTTGGAAAATAAGATCTATTTGACTACAATTTTCACAACTAATAGGATGATGTTCATTGCAATCACCAAATGCAAAGTTTAAACAATGTTCAATACAATTATCATGCTGCACATTACCAAGGTCATCTATAATCAATTCATTTCCATATTCTTGATTCAAATGATGTTGTGTTTTTTCAAGTTGAGTTATCAATTCATTCTAGTAATGAATAATCAAATTAAAAAATATTTCTTTAAAATTATTTGAGCATCAATTCACTAACCTGGATATCTTTTCTATTAATTTTTTCTTGAACAATTGATTTCATCTCTTCAAAAACACCAAATCCATATTCATTACATGTCAAACACAAGCCACCAAGATCTTCACAATATACAAATCAGCTATCTTCTAATCTTGTCATAAAAGCTGTCCTTTTCATACCATCTGGATATAATTCAAAAAAACATTGCCATAATGATTCTTTATTGTTTTTTAAATACATTACAGGAGGCCACTTGCTTCATTTACCTTATATGAACTTGGTGTTGTATTATTTTTATCAAGTAAAAATGTCATAAATTGATCCAGTGATTCTTTTGACAGTTTTACTTTAGTGATTGCAGATTTGCCTAATTCAAGGCAACCAGGGCCATTGGTTTTAGCATACAATCTGGCACTGGTCACACTGTTTGCCGAAAACTTCATAAAACATAAGTATTTTTTTTAATTATTATTAAAAGTAAATAATATAAATACAATTTCAAAAATTTTAATGATGTGACAATTTACTTACACAAAGCTTTTCTTGCAATTCAGCATGGGTAAATTTGTTTGCAATTATTGACAGCACATGAATACAACCATCTTGCCCCTTTTTATTTTCATTTAGTGCTTCTCCAAAACATTACCAAAAACTTTTGCTTATATGCTCTTCATCTATTGGAGTTTTTTTATGTATTGGTGTTGGTGACAGAAACCCCAGAGAATACAACTGAGAAAGTATTTGTTGATCTTGTAATGTATTTAGTGAACAACTCCAAAATTGATACTATATTTTTTTTTTTTCGAATTTATTAATTTTAAATAAAAATTGAATTTAAATTTATCTTCATCAAATTACCTTAGATTCATCATCTTCAAATGGAGTTACATTATGGCAACCAGCTGCTTTAAGCATTGCTCTCCATGCTCTAAGTTCATGTTCTTTGAAAGTATATCCTGATGGGTAAAGTTCTGCTAAAAGAGAATTAAATTCTATTATTGTGCTTGAATTATTTTTCCATCTTATGAAAAACTAGTGCCATTGGATGTTAGATTTAGTTTGGTGTCGAAGATGATAATTATAAAGGTGGTTCATGATATTTATATTTTCCCAAAACCTTGCATCACATTTTGGGATTTTGAACTCTGCCAAAATTTTCTCTGTTAATAAATGTTCCAGTCCAAAAAATTGAGTTCCTTGAAATTTTTTTAATTCTTTTGATTTGATCCAAACATCATTTGGGGATGTTCCTAAATACTCCTTTTTTAATTCATTGTCTTGAAAAATTTCAATATGGCATCCATCTACATCAATTCTTTGAACATATGTTGCCCCTTTACCTAAATATTCACCAAAAAATGTTGCTGAATACCCAATCCCAGCTCCAAAATTGCTAATTTCATCTGGACATCCTAAAGCAGTAACATATATATTATATCTGTCAATTTTTATCAAAAATGGCCAAAACTCAATCCCTGTCAATGATTGTTCTAGTAGTTCGGAATTAGTCCATACCAGTACTTGCGGTCCAGAATAATTTGTATTACTTGCTGGAAAAACTCATCTATACAAAGAAGTAACTGCTGGACTTGGCTTTTCTTCAACACCACTATATTTTGCATCAATATGACACTTATAACCAGGTCAATTTTCATAATTTTCATTCCCTCTTGGACTTGAGTGTAAAAGTGTTTATTATTTGTTTCTAAAACTGTTTGCCATCCAACACGTATAGGGTATAATAAGACACCATCCTCCAAGTTTTTTTCATTATGTAGGGACCACCAGTGCTGTAAATTTGGTCCATAATGTAAATGAGGAATGATTGAACCTAATGAAATTAAATTTTACTTTTAATAAGAGTTGGTCAGTCATTTTTATTGTTTTTTGGAAAATTGGTTGGAGATTATTGAGATGATCCTTATTTAAAATCAATGCAGATCACTCATTTTTAAAAGTATTACATTATATAACTTTTACAGATTATATAATTACAAATGAACTTTTAATATCATCATGTATTATCATACTACTTACCAAGCTAGTTGCAAATACAATATCACGTTTTATCAAACTTCGAGCTTTATCCATTTTAGCACATAATTCTATATTTCCCATTAACTGTGCAGCACTTTTTATTTCACTACAGTTTCATCTAATCTCATAATGCATCGAACAATTGAAACCCTCCATCACATCTGTCAATTCCATTATATTTTTAAATGGCATTTTTAAAAAATTTTTAAATAAACATCAAGTCCTGAAAAAACTTTGCTCCACAATAACAAAATTTAAAAAGTTTACCATTCCTCTTGCCAATTCATATACTACTTGAACTAATCCAAACTTAATTGTTTCAACATAATCACCTACTTGAATATCAACTTCTTTGTTTCTTTGAACCTCTCCAACATACTTCGCAACTTTTTTTATTTCTGCAACACCCTTTTTTCATAAATAAGATAAATTAACTAGATATTATATTTTTGATCATATATATACACTACAAAAATATTGAATGAACATTACTTTTTCTAAGTTTGGAGTTAAAGTCAGTTCACTAGCATTTTTTCTTGATGATAATAATGCAACGATTTCAGCTGGGTCATATTCAGATTCTTTCAAACATTTCCAAAAATCAATTCAGTGACTAACAATTCATCAGCAGTATTAATCTATAATAAAAGAATAAATGGTGTAAATATTATTACCTTATGTAAAACCATTGTCTGCTTTTTTAACAATCTGTAATTATATAGTAATCAAGTAAATAGCAAAAAGCGAACAATTGTTTCAAGTAGTGTAATAAAATAATAATAATAATATTATTTTATGATCCACATCAAGAATATATATACACACCTTACAAGCAATTTGACCTCTCAATTGAACCACTGAAGTTTTTTCATCAATATATTTTAAAGATTTAAGAACTTCTATTCTTTGTTCATACTCTGGCATTAATTCCAAATTTTCACCAGTTATTGTATGAAGCAATTCATCGAGTTTCTTTCCTAATGACATTATTTCATGTATAAGACCATACTAAATATATGCATATAAAAAATAAGTTTTAAGTTTTCATATAGATAAATTCTATTTAAACCAAATCTAATTAAATATTAACAGCCAAAAATATATATTCACATGTTCATTTAATTCCGGGCATTTTATACATTGGAATGAATCTATTTTATTCATAAGCTGAGCTTTCTCATCTAAGTTCAATCGAAATTCAAACATCCTGATTTTTGACCAATCATTCTCCATTATTCTGGCTTATATCATTAAAATTAATTTTTTATTAGTTGATTGACACTTTTTCATTGATAATGTAAATATGTATATATAAAATATTACTTTTTTCATATCTAACGCGTGACAAAGTAATTGTTGAGCTAATTTAGTCACATCAGTTAGGTCATCGAACTGTTTTTTTTGAGATAGATTAAAAATAATATATAAGGAATTAGGTTATTTACTTTAAATGTGAATTTTGTGACAGTTACAATATTGGTAATTGAAATGAATTGACGAGCATATGTATAAGAACTCTGATCAGGAATTGTTATATTGGTTATAGGAATTATTGTTGATTTTTTTGAATTAATAGTATCTAATATAAAAAATTGATTTTATTTTAATAAATCACCAACACAAATTTATCACAAAATGGGATAATAAGAAATCCAGTGTACCTTTACTGGATTTATCCAAAAACATTAAAACTTCAAAGGAAGGGTTTAATATAACAGCAAATACATTTCCATAAGCCTACATAATAAAAATGGATTATAATTACATAAATACATAGCATTAACTATTTTAATAATAAGAAGTACAACATAGCAAAACAAACATACAATATTATTAACAACAATGATTCTCCCTTGACTTAATGCTTTTGTATCTGCCAGTTTTGTAATGATTTTTCGATTCAAATCAAGAATATTGGCTGAAATATTATAAAATTCTTTTATATCATGATTGCATATTGTACATTCGAGTGTTTTTGTGGCCTTGAGAATCTTTTCTCTCTATATTAATAAAGTTTTTTTAAATTAATTGCTTAATATTTTTTCTTTTTTTTTAAACCCCCCATTTTTTTTATTACTTCTGCAAATTCTCGCTCTTTATCTGGTAATGTTTTTTGACTCGTATTTTCCGAAAAACTACGTTTAATCATATCTTCAACTTCAAATGATTCAACTCTTAATAAATTGAGAATCATGTTGTATGTAAGACGAAATTGGGATTTTAATTTAGTTGGTGTTCCTAAAATCATTGCATTAAGTTGAGATTCCTAAAAATTTATTATCATATATAAAATCCAAAATACATTAAATAAATAAAATTAAGACAAACTAATAGATAATTATTTCTAATGACTTACACTAGGAAATTCATTTCCTGACGGTACTATAATCACAGTACCTGTTTTGTCGAATGAACGACGGCCAGCACGGCCGGACATTTGAATATATTCACCTGAATAAATTTTTTTAAAATAAATTTATTGATAAGATATTTATTATTATTAGTGAATTGTGAAGAAGAAGGTTATATTTTTTTACCAGGAATCAATTGTCTAAATTCTTTTCCATCATGTTTTCTTATTCCAGAGAATACAACGGTCTTTGTTGGCATGTTTACACCCTTTTTAATATATATATAAAAACAAAATTAAAATATGTGCATGCAATTTAATGTTAATATTAAATATATCTTTTTTAGTTGTACCCACCATAGCAAAAGTTTCTGTCGCAAATAAAACCTTGACAAGTCCTTTTGAAAATAAAATTTCTACCATCTAAAAAAAGGAAAAAAATAATACACAGATTTGAAACACTAGATTACTGTATTTAATTTAATTTTATTTTGTACCTCTTTGATAACTGGCAATAAACCACCATGATGCACAGCAATTCCTCTACTTAATAAATCTCTCATTCTTAAAATTTGTGGTAACTCTTTATCAGTTTCTACAACATTAAAAAATAATAATTAATATAAAAATAATATTGTATTGCGATTAAAAAATGCATTAAAATATAACCTGTTAGTTTTAGCTTATTTAAACTTTTCTCTAAAAAAAGATGAATTTTACTTTTATCATCTGAAGTGCATAAATCCAAATTTGTTAAATAATTAGCATATTCATCACATTTTTTTTTGGAAAAGGTAAAATTTACAGTAGGCAAAAGTTCTTTCTTTTTCAAAAGATCAATAAGATGAATCCACATGCTTCTATCCTATAATCATAATAATAATAATAATAATAATAAAATAAAATAATAAATAAGTTTTAATATTTTGTTTAATTAAAAAAAAATTTATTGATTTATATTCCAAAAAATAAAATAAAATACCGGTTGCATAGAGTATTTAGCCCCAGAACTACTATTACTTCCTTTTCCACCGCGAGATGATGATCCATGACCTCCACGAGTGCTTACTTTTGTTTTTACCTCTTTATCTTTTTTGGTTAATGCTTCATTTGCTAATTTATATCTATTATAATATCAAAATAAACAAATATCTTTCAAGTTATAATTGGTATGTATAACATGTGATGTCTTAACTTAATTAATTAACATACATACCCTTCTTTAAGAAATCTTCGATCAGCATTAACTATTTTATAAATTTGTTTTTTTGCATATAGAAAATGTTCAAGTGGAACTGGTCGTTTTAGTGTGCTAATAACATATATATCCTTTTTCTTTGTTCGTCTGAATGTATTAATATTTAAAAATTAAACCATTAAAAAACTAATTTATAAATTGATTAAAATAAATATTATATACCCAATCCAGTCAGCAAATTCTTTTGTGTTGGGAACAGTTGCTGATAAAAGAACAAATTTCACATGACCAGGTAACATAATTATAACCTCTTCCCAAACTACTCCTCTCTTTCAAGCACATTTAATACAACGTATTAATATTAATGTATAATATAAAATCAGTATGTTTTAACAAAAAACTATAGTTTAAATTTAAAAGCATACTTCTGAATCATTAACATAATGAACTTCATCAAAAATTACAAATTCAACATCCCTAATTAAATCGGATCCTCTATATAACATGGATCTTAAAATCTCTGTTGTCATAATCAAACAAGAAGCCCCTGAATTTATTTGTACGTCACCAGTTAAAATTCCAACATTGTTTTCACCAAATGTTACTTTGAAATCACGATATTTTTGATTGGAAAGAGCTTTAATAGGGGATGTATAAATAGCACTATGAAAAGGATTATTAAATATTAATAAAGTAAAATTTTATAATTATAAATCGAATATATAAATAATAGTAAATACATACTGTGTCTTATGTTTTTGAGCTAATGCTATAGCATACTCTGCCACAGCAGTTTTTCCTGCAGATGTATGAGCTGCAACAAACACAGAATTGCCACTTTCTAAATGATATACCGCTTGTTTTTGAAAAGGATCCAATTCAAATTCATACTAGTTTAAGATAAAATGAATTATTAGAATTTTTCTCTTAATATATATATATATAAATTGCCTAATAATGAAGAATACTTTATATGCCAACTCTGGTATCAATTCTTTAAAATTAAGTAACTCATCATCTAAATTAACAACATGTGCCCATTCACGTTTCTTTGAGTCGTTAGTAATATATTTACTTGCTTTAATAATCTCTTTTGATGATTGTGACTATAAAGTAATCAAAAGATTAAAAAATTTTCTAAAACGAAATAATCATAATAATAATAAAATATTTAAATATTATTATTACTTGAGTTGACAAAAATTTATCAACATCTTCATTTATTTTATCTTTGCTGCTAGAAGGGTCGATTACATCATCTACAATGCAATCCTCTTCATCAGACTAATAATAATAATAATAATAATAATAATAATAATAATAATAATAATATATAATAATTCAGATCAGTATTTAATTGCGAATATTTTGAAAATAAATAAATAAATACATCATGGTAATCTCTGATTTTAGAGTGATCTCCATCTTCGAATCCAGAGTAATACCCGAATCCAGATAGTTCATCATCATCATGAGTAATTAAGTCAGTAATATTTAGACCAATTAATTTTTTGTAAGGCACCCATTTGGTTTCATCATCTAATATAATAATTAATGAAATTAATTTTTTTTTTTTTTTTGTGAAGAAAACAGTTTCATGATAAAAAATCAAAAATACCATCATCAAACAGTAATCCACGTTTAAATCCAGGAATTATTGTCTGAATTTCATCTATTATTCGATTATAAGTTTTCCCATAAATAAAAATTCTGATGTATTATGCGTATGCAACATTTGATTAAATATTCATTAACAATACCATCTTCAAATTTCAAAACGTTGAAAAAATTATCAACAATATTATCAACTTTATCCATCAAAACTTCTTCAAATCCACCTATTTAGAACATAATAATAATGATAAAATGAAATAGTCCAATAGGTGATGTATGTGAATCTTTTATCATTGATAAGTTAATTACAATTGTTTTAGAGAGAGAGAAAAATTACCTGGAGCAAAAGGTATTTGGTTTGAATTTCCTTTTACAAAATCATCTAATTTGCCTGGTTCACGTAATAATGATGTCGAATTTTTCGAAGTTAAACCAGAATTAGATAATGCAAGCTAAATAATACAACATTTTTTAATTATGTATTAAAAAAAAATCTAATATAAAAATATTGGAGAAATGAATAAATTACTTCTTTATAACCAGTTACTAATCCATCAGGACCATCTCGTAAGATTTCAAGATTTATTCGAGGTTTTGATGGTTCTAATGGGGCAAGTGATAATAAGCCAGAAGAATCACAATCAAAAGACCTTAAAATTCAATTTTATTGAACATAAATACGGGATGATTGTGACATATTATAAAAATATATATAAAACAATTAATGAAATACTCTTTTTTTTAAACAGATACTATGTTATTATTATGTTAAATGAAACAATGCTAACTGTTGTTGAAACTTGCATAACCATGAAGTTGGAAAAGAGGTTTTTGATATTAAATATTGCTCTTCTATTTCTTGAAGAATTTCTTCATGTGATAGTGGTTTTTTCTGTTCAGGAGATACCCAACAAAAAATTATTCAATTATCAAATTATAAACATCAATTATAAGAGTATAAATGTAAATATATTACAGAAGTTGTGTCTTCATCAATTTGATCGTTATCATCATTATCATTTAATGCTTCATTTTGGATGCCTTCGCTTGAATTCTTTATAAATTGTAATATTGAATTGACAAAGTTTGTTTTGTCGAATTCTTAAAAAAAAGAATATTTTGTTAAATAATTGATATATGGCGGGCAAAAAATATTCTTGCCAAAAACAAACCTTCAATTTCAATATCATTGTTCATATTTAAAAAAGTCTATATCCAAAATTTTTGTTTGAATTGATAAAATTTTATCATCATCCGCAGAAAAGATTTTTGTATAGTAATGCTGATATAAACTTAATACAAAGTTATTTTACAACCAATTAAAGGAAATAAAAACTGAAAAAAATGTTGCAGAGAAAGATTTGTTTACAATTATGAATAAATTGGGAGATCTGGAAATAATATTGTTGATAAGTTTATTTAATAATGTCAAATACAGTCATCTCTTCCAGATCAAATTGTAGAATGGATATTTTTTATTCAATAGAATATGGATTTAGATTGCCATATGGTCAAGAAGAAGGATAATTGACTATTGAAAAAGAAAAGAATTTAGTTATATACTTAGGGCTTCAAGAAGTAGTATTAAAATGTTTAAATAATTCAAGTAACCCAGGAAATGATTTTTTGATGAGGTTAATAAATTTTATTTAAATCAAGAATTGAAAGGTGGATATTCCCAGAAAATAAAATTATGCAGTCAATGGTTTTATGACATGCTCCAAAGGAAATTTAAAAGATCATTTACAAGAAACTCACTTTAATTTAACATTAAAAGATAGAATTATAATTATCAGGTCTTTATGTATTTCATTATACATTAATAAAGTGATTTGGGGCATACTGCAACAAAACCAGACAAAGTGAACATTGGTATTACCAGAATTTCAGGGATCAAAATTTAGTCATTTGTAATGTGATTGTAATTATCAGTTTTATAATATCCCATTTGTTATCTTAAGTAATATATAGAATCACCCCTATATAAAAATAGTTAATATGAAGTTAATTTACATTAAGTCTACTATGGAACCCAAGAATTACAGCACCATTAGAAGTATTTTGAAGAAAGAACAAGGTGATCCTTACATTTTCAAAATAAATGATACTCAGACATTGGAAACTTATCTAAAAAAAGAAAGGATTACCTATGAAATTTACCAAGAGGAAAGAAAAACAATAAATGTTGGAAAAAGAAAGCATCATGATGATGCATTATTGCACAACAAAAAGCAAAGATCTCTAGAAGGAAAATAATAGGAACAAATTTATTATTTATTTCTAAAAAAAATAGATCATTGAGACTTGATATTTATTGAACGTACTAAACAGACAAACAGATATATACTAATTATTTTTAGAGAGAATTATTGATTATTACCAAAGATTGATAAGATGAAATTACAAAAATTATCTTGAGAAACTGAGATTTATTGAATGTACTAAAACAGATTACGTATACAAGAAATTTCGTGTTTCTTGATTTTTTAATAAAAGTCTGAGAAATTTTTTTTTTGCTGTAGTGTATCATTTGGTCGAATAAAATCTACTAAATAAAACAAATAAGCAAATGTTTTAAAAATTTATTTTTTATTAAAAAAAAGAAGTAAAGAAAAAATTTAAAATATATAAATATGATTGATTTTAGACTGAGGTAGATTTATCAAAAAAAAATTTTAATTAATTAAAAAAATACTATTATTTTTAATAAACTTTAAAGAAATGGTGTTTAATTTGAAATCCATTTGTGTGATTTGATTCAATCATTAACACTAAAGGAACGAAATAGGTTCGGAATTATTAACATCAGGAAATTTTTTCCGACATAATATTTGTGTTTGTAAGATTTACAATAAACAAACTATTGCAAGCACGATAACATCTAAAATTTTTTTGGGACGCAACATTACAGGACGTAGACTTAGGCTGGACCCCGTAACGTTACATAAATATTACGTCAGGAAAATTTTTCATGATGCGAAGCTAATGCCATTGTGGGAGTAGAAAAACATTAATGATAATAACAAAAATACTATTTTAATATTATTTAAATGCTTTTAATAATAACGCTCACAATTCTTTCATCATTGTTGATAATAATAAGTTAATGGAAGGTGTAATTTATGAATATCTAGAAGTTGGTTACAGATGAAATTAAATTTTAGATTATCGAAAGTAAAAATCCTGCTCTCCATTCCTATCCAATAAGTATGCAAGCAGAAATTGCGAAAGGTCATATCTTCGGTGTAGAAAAGAATATTCTAAGGGTAATTTTATATATATTCGATATCAAAAATGATTTAAATTAATTT